AGCTGATGACTCACATGGAGGCTGTGCGTGGCGTGTGGGCCAATTACGGGACGCGGCGTGGGCCACGAGGTGTTTGAAAACAAACACTTTGTCTACTGCGGGTATCATTGCGAATTGGAGCCTGGAACTAGGATGTGAGGAAATTTAGATGTGAGAAAGTTTCGCGAATTAGGCTAAATGGAAACTAGCAGGCAACTTCCAATACACGTTACGCTAAACCACATGTTATCATAGAGTATAACTCGGAAATGATGTGTACTAGACTCGGTTTTGTGACCCCAAAGTTCTATATTAAAATGCATGCTATTTTCCATTTTAAAGCGCTGTTTTAAAAAGTGTGAAATGTTCACTCGGATCAAACTAGAAATGCAACCTAAGAAGAAGTTAATCACGTGAATATAAAACTGCCAAACGTCCTCGTTTGATTATTTTCCTATCTCCAATTGAAATAAGATGCTTTACGAAGATTGCTTACTTATGACGATTTACAACACTTAATTCTAAACCATTAATTAACAAGCAGTTCATACGTTAGTAGTCCTCAAGTCCGCGAGCTTGGGATGGTGCTTGACGTGACATGGCGGGGAGCGGTCAAGCGTGGCGGGGCTGGCCTGGCGTGGCGGGGAATGACCTAGAGTGGCGAAGCAGGGCCTAGAGAGGCGGGACTGTGCCTAGCATGGCGGGGCGGGGAGTGCCTGGCGTGCGGGCCGTCAGGCGTGGCGGGCTGGCTTGGCTGGCGACGGTCAGGCCCTTGACAGAGCGGCCGTGGCAGGGCGGGCACGCGCCTGTGCGCGCGGGCGGCGTGACCCAACGACGCGACTAAACGAGTCGCGCGCGAGAGGGCTGGGCGGGCGGGCGGGCGCCGCTGCGTGCCACTTTGGTCCACCTGCGGGGGTACTGTTAGAGGAAGGCGGCGGCGGCGGCGGTGGCGGCGGAGGCCGAAATAAGCTTCTCGGCTCCACGGACGGCCAGCGTCCAGCGCACCGTCACACGCGGCGGCCGATAGAAAAGGGCTCAGGGACAGAGAACCGCTCATGCAGTTTTGATTTATCAGTGATTCCCGGCGCATCAACTTCTGTAGTTACTCCCGTGAGTGTAGTGCATCGTCCCGGGAGACGGCAACGTTCCTCCCTCGCTGGAGTGTGAGATCCGGCGCCTACCTACGTCCTCTTGCGGGGTTTCTCCCTCTAGGAATCTCCCCCAACGAGGCTTTTCCTCAGCCGGGGCAAGCGCTAAACTCCCGAACTGGGTGATAAGAGTGTAAGAATGTGAGAGAGAAAGTGTGTGCATTTGTGTGTGTTTAAGAGAGTTAGGGAAGAGGAGGTTACGAATAAGAAGGAAAAGATCGCCTGTTTGTGGAGATACTACTCCGTAATTCGCTTGATTTTGATTGAAGAATCCGCGAGCCATACTACCGATCAGAGCTATAATTCTACTCCAGTGATTGAATTAGATTTTGTTATGGGGCTAGTATCGAAGCCTACGACAGCAGTTGCAGCGGAGAAAAACGGAAGTGATGCAATTGAGGCAGCGAAGACAATCATGTAGATTTCAGATACTAAAGCTCATTTATATTTGGCGAACACATGCAAATCAATAGAAGCCAGAACGATCAAGTGTCGAGTGTTACCCACGCAAGTGACTAGGAAATGGAAACCTCTAATTCTGAATGTAGAAAGGGTTCTCTAGAGAGAATCGTGGATTGGGGAAGTTGCAAAAACTTCAAATTTGGGCTTGTTACTACCTCTAAGCCACTCAATTGTATCCGGGTATTTTGAAGAACCCTGTCTTAGAATGACAAGATTCTATGACTTCCAGAAAATTGCAGTGCCATTTTGATCACACATTCTTTCCTCTGAGTATAATTTGAAATATATTTTTATGTGTTTTAGATATGTCAATAGAGATTTTGAACATGTCGAAACAGCGTATCTGCTTGAACTTCTGCATTTTCAAGTCGTGAAATATGACACTACAGAGCAAAGCATAAGAAAAAGTCAATTATTGTAGTTTGTTTTTAAAATACTGAAAATGAAGTCGTGTAGAATGCCATTATAACCTTTTTGGCGACGGCTATCCCATTGCACTAAGTTTGAATTACTTGTGAATAATTTCAATTTTGTGACTGTGAGAAGGCAAGACATGGAACACCGCCACTTACGGCGTTATACCATCATTCATCGTTCATCTTTTTACGAAGACAGATATTCCATGCTTCGCAACAAACTTATTATGATACTACGGTTTAACTCGAAATGAACAGCTGATTAATGTCACTTATGAGAGAATTATAATCATCACTTGTTGTCCGTTTTTGAAATCAATTAATGTATAGTAATATAAGATTCTCTCCATCATAAAGTGAAACAATCTCGATTTCGTTCAAAATGTCACCATCTACTCCCGAACGCCTCATTTTATAACTCTTTAATAAAGCCAAAAATATGTTTTCTGATAGTAAACATTACGTCAGAAATGGCCACAACAAAAAAATGCATGAGCAGCGTATAATTTTTTCTGATACATTTGTAATCGAATTGCGGCCATACAAATCTGGAACATTTCGAATGTTAGTTACTGACCGACCCAATTCGCAGAACTATAATTACGAAGTGCGGAGTAGGAAAAGAAGTACATTGAAAACAGTGAATTTTGGAAAACGTTTGGGAAAAATTTCCAGCGCGTTGTAGGCTTCCAGTTGCTTGTTACAGAAGGACATCTAGCACTAAAGTGGCTGATTTTTCCTATTTTGTTTATGAAGAGAGAGAACTTTCTCCGCTACCCATGGTGCAGACGACGATGTTTACAGTACTCTGCGTTTTAGGGATTTACAGGTTTAAGATCTTTCAAAAATTGATGAAGTGCGTTTTAGGGACGATTGAAGCAGAGATTTCATTAGGTCTAAAGCCTATAACTAGGCTTCGGACGTTATGAAATCTGAAGTAGCAATTTTGCACGATTGTAATACGCTTATCAATATGAATTACTTTATCGTCTGAGAAATCTAGTGAAAGTAAAGTCTGGTATACCACAAACACTTCACTAGTCATCCATATCTCAATATTCCTCATTATAAAACATCATGATTGCATAATAAACAAGTGTCAAAATGACTTGGAATTAAATATTTAAAATATGCATTCGTACCCACTATATCTGATACCGTTCTGCTCAATCTCCAATGCAATAATGTAAAATAATGATAATAATTACAAGATATTGAGTTCTCGGCTATCACGTTCGCTACGATAAATGTTCACTGATTTATTTAAATAATAAAAATTTTAATTAGCTCACATAAATAATAAAAATTCTGTCTATGGATATTTTAGAAAGAAAGTATTTCCAAATATATACAAACGTCGTATAAAATTGTAAAATATTTGTTATTGTAGATTTATGTCTCTCCAGTAATCAACACTTTCAAAGTTGCATTGTATTTCATATACATTTAAAAACAACACGTTAAAATTCATTACGGCATTATCCATAATGTCCTTTTAAAATAATGCCATCAACATAAAAAAATAAAATTCTCGTACAATAACTACTATAAAAAAATAATTTAATAATAATATTTTAACTCAATCTATTAACGCGAATATTGGTACATTCACGATTTCAGTGGTTTGAAATCAATGTTAAGAGGATTATTTAATAGGTAATTGTTATATTTTTTAATAATCATTACATTATCTGAACAATGTTTTCTATTTAACGTAGTTTTTACATTATATCTACATTAAATAGAAAACATTGCTCAGATAATGTAATGATTATTAGAAAACATTACAATATTTTAATAAATATAAGTATTGTACGCGGAATTTGATATTCATATAAAATTTTCATTTACAATATTTAACTTAATGGTGAAAATTGGTTTAACTTTTAATTATTTCATATGTATTATTAAACAGTTTTAAAATAGTATACCGTCCAAATGTAACTCAACAAACTTATCAAAACCTTGATTACTTAGGTGTCGGTTACAGATACACTCTCTTTTTCCTGCGTAACATGATATCCGACTTGGAATGCAGTCGTTAGACTAAGTATAAAATTACAAAATACTGAGCCATTGTCCAAGAACAAAAGTGGAATAAATTTGAATGACTTACCAATATAACGAAATGACAGGCTAATACAGAATTTTTCACGTCTTACAAGAAATTTTACAGTCGTAATTGCTAGCAGTGTGAGTGCGGCTAAGTGCTTGCAGCATTTTTCCTTAGATTTGTAGTACATTCTCTCACCAGGCCGTGGCGTGTCGTTCAAAATTCCAGAGGTTCTGGGAGTCACTTGGGAAAGTCCGCACCCGGTCTGAAATATCCGGTTATGCAGTCTAGAATTACGGCTTCTGCTGAGCTTGCGCAAGGCGCTTCAATCGCGAACTGACTGCCCTCCTGAACTGAATTCCGAGCGGACGCCACTCCACAAACGCACTCTTCTGTTGCATCTAGATCCGAGCAGCCCCAGAAAGCTTCCATCAGGGAATTCCACGAGCAAGTGCTCATATAAAAGCCCTGGTGGCGAACAGATATTATCTAACACGTGTTTATTGTGCTACATTCTACGTAAGTGGTATTCAAAGAACTTAGCGCTTGTTGTGTCAACACGTAAATGAGGATGGATTTTCCTAGAAATACCCATTCAACTTTTACAGACCTTCTAACGCGTTTTTATTGGAGGCGAATTCCAGAAATGCTTACGCGCTTTTGAGATAATAAAGTCACCACCACGTCAACACTTAACGAGGTGTATCGTTGTGCAGAAGACCCAGAGATATTTCCAAAAGAGCGACAACGAGAAGTGGTTTTTGTATCGCACACGAAATCACAAATTCTGGTTCACGTGACCACATTATTATGTAAATGATCGCAAAGAGATAGAACACTAAACAAAAATAGTTTTCCGTCAACGTAAGATCTTCGGAAAAAATGGAGAGAACACAGAAATATATTCGCAGCTACCTACACACGAGGAGATTGTTGAGGAGATCATGCAGAGACTGACGGGTGAGCACAGAGTGTTAGGGGACAAGTGTGCCCTGCCGTCCGTCGCGACGCCGCTCGCAGCGAGCGGGGAAAACTTTCCAACGCGGCGCCCCATGGAAGGAGCTGCAAGAGACCATCGCGCTTGCGGAAAACGGCAGCCAGGAAAAGCGTGGACAACTTGGCATCGCCGTGCGGTGCCATCCCTGCACCCCCACGCCGCCCCGGGCGCCTTACCTGCACAAGAGCAGCGGCGGCGGCAGCAGCAACGGCGGGAACTTCTTCGTCGGCGCTGGGGCAGGCCTGGCGGTGCGCTCTCCATGAACGCGAGCTGGGCGGCGACCACGTCCTCATGGGGCGGGACCGACACCCCGCGGCGGAGCGGCCTCGTCACCCGCGCACAGCATCACCCGCGCCGGCGGGGGGAGGGGGGCACACACACTCGGCCGGCGACGATGGGGCTGGAGGAGCAGGCGCGCTTCCAAACAGGTTTCGGT